ATTTTTGTTGTTGCTGGGATTGCTTTTGGGGTCTTCTTCATAAATTCTTTGCCTCAGCTGAAATCTAGAAGAGTTTTTTAAACATTTTCTTCTAGAATTATTATAGTTTCTTGCCTTAGATTTAAGTCTGTTATCCATTGTGAATTAATTTTTGTGAGCGGTGAGAGATGTGGATCCTGTTTCAGTCTTTTTTTTTCTAAATTTTTTTTTAATTTCAGCATATTATGGAGGTACAAATGTTTAGGTTACATATATTGCCTTTGTGCCACCCAAGTCAGAGCTTCAAGTATGTCCATCTCCCAGACGGTGTGCACCGCACACATTAGGTGTGTGTATACCCATCTCCCCCTCCATCTCTCCAACACCTGATGAATATTCCTTTTTCAGTTTTCTACATGTGGCTATCCAATTTTCCCACCACTTACTGAATAGGGATTTTTTTCCCCACTGTATGTTTTTATCTGCTTTATCAAACATCTGATGGCAACACGAGGATGGTTTTATATCTGGGTTCTCTATTCTCATCCATTGGTCTATATCTCTGTTCTTGTGCTAATACCATGCTGTTTTGGTTATTGCAGCCTTGTAGTATAGCTTGAAGTCTGGTAAAGTGATGCCTCCCAATTTGTTCTTTTTACTTAGGGTTGCCTTGGCTGTTTGGGCTCTCTTCTGGTTCCGTACGAAGCATAGAATTATTTTTTCTAGATGTGTGAAAAATGATGTTGGTATTTTAATGGGGATTGCACTGAATCTGTAAATCATTTTAGATAGTATAGATCAGGGGTCCTCAAACTTTTTAAACAGGGGGCCAGTTCACTGTCCCTCAGACCATTGGAATGCTGTTGGAGAGTGCGGTGCACATTCCACACATGTGTGCGGTGGGCCCAGGATGAGTCGGCTGCTAAGCAGGACAGGCAGCAGTGTCAAAAACACCAGGCAGGCCGGATAAATGTCCTCATGTCCTCAGCAGGCTGCAGTTTGAGGACTCCTGGTATAGATGTTCTAACAATATTGATTCTTCCTGTAGAGAACTCTTTTTGGCCAAACTTAGATTTGGCCTATCTCTGAAACAATCATTATAGTTAGGGTGTGGAATGTTGTGGGTAGGCCTATGCACTTTACTCACTCCTAGAGGTTTTGGTGCAGCGGTAAACGTTGGGGATAAGATGAATGGCACTCAAACCCAGTGGCATGAGTTTTCCATTGGAGCAAGAGATTCTACTGTCAAAAGAAAGGGGAAAGAATATTGGGCATATAAAACACAACAGCTGTTCACTGAAGATGACCTAGAAAGTGAGTAATATCCAAAGGATTGTGTGATAGATTATGTTATGTAAAAGGAGCTATTCATTACTAATTTTAATATGGAAATTATTTTCCTGCATACCTGTGGGAAATCCTTTTATTTAATGATTATTGCAGGTGATAAAATCAAGCCCTGTTACTTTAAGTGTGGTCTAAATTTAGTTTCATTTGGAAAGTTTTATCTTTTGTATTCTTTTCAGGGTTTTAAATGTTCAAGTCTATACTTGTAGTGCTTGAATAAAATGTAAAACTTATCTGTAATGGGATTTATGTGACATTGTGTACCGCACAGGAATCTATGTTAATTTGAATTATGTGTAGTTGCTTTTTTGCATTATTTTTTATAAGTGCAATTAAATGTTCAGCAGCATATTATATAGCAGTTGTACTTTTTAATTTATTCATTATTCTAGTTATTTTGATAGTTTCCATTAAGAGTATCTTATATCATTAACTAATTTCTTTTTATAAAAAATGATTGGGCTTAACCAAAAGAGTTTACTTGAAGAAAGACATACATTAGCTTCTTCTGCCCAAATTATATTGCCCATTTTCTTGTAAGTACTTTCATTCTCCTTTAGAGAATACCTTATTTAAATAAACTAATGGCTTGACTTACGAGCATATTAGTAGGTAGGATGTGCTCAAAGAATACAGAAAACCATTAGTCAGAGCTTAAAAACAATACTTAAGAAAACAGTATTTAATTAAATCTATGATCATTTTTTCATTTGTCACACATTTATTGACTATCTAGTAGGCTTGAGATATTGGTTTTGCCACCAGGGATAAAATGATATGAAAACATAGGCCCTACACCAAGAAAAAAATAAAAGTCTTGTAGACTAAACAGTAATAGTAATCTTCAAACATTTTTATCATTTATCTGCTAAAAGGATTTTGCAAATGTGTAACCCTTTGCATATTTTTAGGTTGATATCTAAAGTTATTCTGATAAGTATAAATAGTTGCAAAGAATGACATTTCCAGTATGTTGTAAATATTGACATTTAAAAGAAAAATTTTTACAAGTTCTGACTGTATCTTTTTTTTTGTGAGACAGAGTCTCTCTGTGTCTCCTGGGTAGAGTGCAATGGCATCATTGTAGTTCACTGCAACCTCAAACTCCTAGGCACAGGCCATCCTTCTGCCTCAGCCTCCTGGGTAGCTGGGACTACAGGTGCAGGGCAGCATGCCCGGCTAAATTTTCTCCTTGTCTCCTTTTAGTAGAGACACCCCCTTGTCTCACTCTTGCTTAGGCTGGTCTTGAACTCCTGAGCTCAAGCATTCCTCACGCCTTGGCCTCCCAGAGTGCTAGGAGTGCAGGCGTGAGCCATATTGTATGAGTTTTGATAGGAAACAGGGCTCTGACTCTACTCTGGAAATCACACTAGAGCTTCCTCCTACCTGCACCCTGGCAGGCAGGCCGTGTGTAATAACCTACGCTTGACCAATTAAAGCCACTTGCCCAAGACTTTGAATCGTGAGGCAGAAATGTTCCCAAAGGCTGCAGGAACAGTTTACTTATGGCAATGTTCAAAGTCCAATGTTGGCAATGCAAAGAGCAGCAGCAAAAAGACATGACCATTTTTCTGTTGAATTGTCTTATTGATTTGTAGGAGCTCTTTTTATATTCTGAATAAGTTTCTATCTGTTATATTTTAATGTTGTTTATGGTATCTTTGTTATAAAGTTTTAATGTAAAATATTTTGTCTTTTCCTTTGCTTTTTTGCTTATTATTTCAGAAGTCCTTGCCAAAGTTATCAACATGCTCCTATATCTAATTCCTTTATATTTTTGTTTTCAATGTTTTTACTTGTTTAGTACATTTTGAACTTATTTTTATTAGAAGTGTGTGGTGTAAATTTTACCTTGATTTTTTTTTTTTAAGAAATGAACAGCCAACTGTCAAGTTCTCATTAACTTGTATAATCTGTCCTTTTCCTAGACTGCTTATTAGAAGGATGTCAGTCAGACCTAACATTGAGGGCAAGGTTTATAATGAGAAATGGTGCCTGAAATGTTCTTATTGTATTCAGGTTAATTGCTCAGTATCTATTTTGTCAGGAGGCCAGATATTTATAGTCTTTTCAGGAAGTGAAATAACATTTGTAAAGGCATCTTATTTGAAAATACCGTAGGTATAATTCTTTATGTTATAACTACTCTATAATAAAAGCCAATAGATACTATCACCCTTATTTTTGTAAGCAAGCTTATTCTTTCAAAGAAAATATGCTTTAGAAAATAGTTAATTTATAGTTTCTTTCCTGCATTAAGGAAAATAGGACAGCATGACCAGTCAGCCAATACCTGGAAGTAATTAAATTTGTACTATGAGACCCTGCTGACCACCTGATTTTTTAGGGTATTAGAATTTAAATGACCAGCACTTCTCAAACTTGCATTAGAAATCACCTAGAGGGCTTATTGAAACACAGATTGCTGGACCCCACTCCAGGGTTTTTGATTTAGTAGATCTGGGATGGGGCCTGAAAAATTTGCCTTCCAAGTTCCCAGGTGATATTGATGCTTTGAGAATCTTATGATAGACTGAATGAAGACAAAGGGTTGATTAGTCAGGGAAGAAGAAGGGAGATCTTGGTGGGTTGTGGAAGAGGTTTGCAGTCGTTAGATTTTTGCCCTCAATGATTATTGCCTTGCTTCCTTCTGGCTGCTAATTTTGGATCTGTCAAGGACTTAGCTTCATATGTAGTTTTTCTTTTCCTCTCTCAATTTACCACCTACTTATAATAAATTTCTTTATCTACAAAAATTCTTTCAGAGATTTATAAATTTCCTTGTTTCTAAAGTTTCTGTCTCATAGGGTTCTTTTGGGAATGTGTAAAGTACTCAGAAGATAGCAAGCATTCAACAAATGTTGGCTCTTTTTACTACTGTCATGATTTAAGGTCTTAGACTTTAGGATACCTCACTAGCTCTAAACTGGCATTTCTGAAAGGTAAGTTTTGCACAGCTACTTTTTCTGAGTGTCTTTGAGTGCTTTCCAAATGAAGTTCCAGGTGCAGATGGTATCACTATGCCTACTTTGCTGTTGGAGAGAGCAAAGCAGAGAGAGATTATTCAGTTTAATTCAGCACTTTAGAAGATCAACCAGAAATTCTTACTTTAACAAACAGAACTGTGTAGAAATTACTGAGAACTTTTGCTCTCTTTTGCTTGTTTCATGTAGGAGTTGGCATCTATGCCACAGGGGGTTTGTTCTTTTTATTCACCTAGAAATATTCAATTTTGAGCATAGATTGCAGCATAACTTGAAAGTATAGTAAAAATAAGGACATACAAAGATGTAAAAAAGTATTGAGGATATGTGTTAAATATTCTATCTTATTGATGGTTTGGATGATCTTAAAATGCATTCTTCTGTATTATTGTTGCCTATATTAACATTGCTGTTAATGAAAACAGAAAGCTGATTATGTGTTTTATTGTGCTTCATCTTTTTGCTAACCTAGCATTTAAAATGTGAATGCCATTGATGTCTCACTTCTCCTTTATAGGGCATATACTTTGGATGGAAGTTTTAGAGCATAGTGCTTGACTTAGATAGATGTATAGTACATTTGTATAACATTTCTCTCTGTAGGTCAGGACAGTCATTGTTGCCAAAGGCATAGAGTGTGCTTTCTCTTTTGTTTCTTATAATGCTTCTGTTTCTTTATTATCTTTTTAGGTGATACAGTAAATATTGGAGATGTATCCTACAAGTTGAAGACTCCCAAGAACCCAGAACTTGTGCCACAGAACTACAGTAAGAAATAATTCATTAATTTGTGAATGAATAACTTTTAACTTTTCATTATAGGAATTTTCAAACTTATACAAAACTAGAGGGAACAGTATAAACCCAAGGTATTTATCATCCAGCTTCAACGTTTATTAATATTATACCAATCTTCTTTTACCTGATTCCTACTTTTTGTCCTGGAACATTTAAAGCCTATCCCAGACATCCTATCGTTTCACACATGAATATTTCAAGAGAAACATTTATTAGTCTCACATACTACTGTTTCTTTATTACATGGGATAAAATTTACATATAATAAAGTACACAGCTCTTAAATGTTTGTTTTGGTTGGTTTTGACAATTTTATAAACCTGTGTTACCACCAAGATTAATTACCCCTCACAGGTTTTCTTGTGCTTATTGCCCTTTACTCTGCCTTAGAAACCATTGTTTTCTTTTCTACCATGATAGATTAGTTTCGCCTGTTCTCCAGCTTTATATAAATAGAATCATACGGTATGAGTGAGTGTGTGTGTATTTTTTTCCATCAAGAGAATGAATTTGAGGTTTATCCATATTGCTGCACCTATCAGTTTTTAATTTCTGAATAGTATTTCATTGTATAAATATACCACAAATTGTTTATCCATTCTTTCTGTCGATGGACATTTGGATGGCTTTCATTTTTGGACTGTTATAAATAAGGTGCTATGAACATTCCTCTACAGTTCTTTTGGTTATAAATTTTCACTTCTCTTGAGTAAAAAACTAGGAATTGAATTGATATGTCATAGGGCGAATGCCTGTTTAACTTTATAACACACTATCAAAACAATTCTCCAAAAAAGTTGTACCATTATACTTTTGACCAACAGTGATGTTCTACTTCCTTGCCAGCCTTGGTATTTCTAGTCTTTTTTATTTTACTCATGCAACTAGATGTAAAAAAAGTAACTCATCATGGTTTATGTTTTATAATAGCTTTATTGAGATATAATTCATCTGCTATAAAATTCACCACATAAAAGTGTACAATTTGGTGGTTTTTAGTATATTCAGAGTTGTGCAAACATACTGCTATCTAACTTAAGAACATTTTTATCACCCAAAAAAGAAACCTCATACCCATTAATAGTCATTCCCCATTTTCTTCTCTTTCTTCCCCTCAGCCTTTGGCAACTACTAATATACTTTCTGCTTCTATGGGTTTGCCTATTCTGGACATTTCATATAAATGGGATCATACTATGTAGCCATTGTGTCTGGCTTGTTTCACCTAGCATAATGTTTTCAAGGTTCATCGGTGTTGTAGCATGTGTCAGTAATTCATAGCTTTGTATAGCTAAATTTTATTCCATTATAAGGATCTTCTATATTTTGTTTATTCATTCATTAGTTGATGGACATTTGGATTGTTTTTACTTTGGGCTATTATGAATTATGCTGCTATGAACATCCATATACACAAGTTTTTTATGGACATATGTTTTCAATTTTCTTGGGTATTTACCTAGAAGAGGAATTGTTAGGTCATATGGTAGCATATGTTTAACATTTTGAGGAATTACCAAAATGATTTCCATATCAGCTACACCCTGTTGCATTCCCACCAGCAATGTGTGAGGTTTCCAGTTTCTCCACATTCTCACTAACACTTGTTATTGTCTGTCTTTTTGATAACAACCATCTTCATGCATGTGAAGTGGTATGTAATTGTGGTTCTGTTTTACATTTCCCTAATGACTTCCTTGCTCGAAATCATGTCATTTCTTTTCTCAAAATTCTTTAAACGACTTTTTAATATCTTAGGAACAAAGGTCAATTCTTAGCTATCTTGATCTAGTCTTAGACTCATCTTGTGCCATTTTCTTTTCCTGTTCTGTGTTCTAGTCATTGGGTATGATGTATTATAGAATAACTTTTTCTTTGCTCTTCGGATTCTTCCACTAGACTATCTGCTCTGTTAAAGAAAAAAATTATTCAGTGATGCTTGTTAAAGAGTGATAAGTAAGACTTTATTCAGGACCATCATGATGGGTCTTTCAGTGGGGGAGAAAGATTGGGCTTGGCTCTGACAGCAGTATGGGCTAGTGGGAATTTATAGCTAAGGAGCAGCATGGGGAAACATCAAGGGTAGAGGGGATTCTGGCTAAACTGACCTAACAAGATTCTTGCTGAAGACAGGCCAGGGTGATCAGACATAACCTGGGGGATGGTGGAAGATGAGAAACCTGATGAAGAATGATCTCAGTTGTCAAGAATGGGGAGGTTCTGGCTAAATTGACTTAGCAAGGTTCTTTTGCTAAAACTGGATTTTACAAGGAAGTGCAAGGATGGGCCTTGGAAAAACTTTAGAAATGTGACTAAAGTTTGGTCAAGCAAAGAATCTTTGTCAGTTCCTTGAGGGGGAATGGAATATCTCACTTTCATCTAATACAAAGTTCCATTAACTCTACCTCCCAAATGGCTCTGCAGTCTGTCTTCTCCACTCTGTTCCACTTTTTTGTTTCCTTTCTTTCTTTCTCTCTTTCTTTCCTTTCCTTTCTTTCCATTCTTTCTTTTCTTTTCTGTCTCTCTTTGTCTTCTGGGCTAGAGTACAGTGGCATCATCATAGCTCACTGCAACCTCAAACTCCTGGGCTCAAATGATCCTCCTGCCTCAGCCTACCGAGTAGCTGAACTACAGGTGCATGCAACTATGCCCAGCTAATTTTTTTCTGTCTTTTGTAGAGACAGGGTCTCGCTCTTGCTTAGGATGGTCTTGAACTCCTGACTTCAAGCAGTCCTCTCACCTTGGCCTCCTAGGTGCTAGGATTATAAGCGTGAGCCACCACACCTAGCATCCCACTTTTCTTTTACTATGTTTTTTTTGTGTGAGTTATTTTCTTAGTAGTTGTTTTAGGGATTACAGTTGATGCCTAAACCTAAAATGATTTTATTCAGATTAATGGTAACTTAGTTACCATTAGTATACAAAAGCTTTGTATACAAAAGCTTTGCTCCAAGATAGTTCTGTTCCTTCCCACCTCATTTGTGCTGTTATAGTCACAGGAGTTATATCTTTGTACATTAAAAGTCCATATATAGTTTTATAATTATTGCTTTATGAAATTGTCTTTTAAATAAAAAAAAAGAGTTACAAAAATATGCTTATATTGTCATTTTATTTACCTATGTAGTTCTCTTTACTGATAATCCTCTTTCTTCACGTGGATTTGAGTTACTGTCTAGTGTGATTTCAGCCTAAAAGAAGGATTCCTTCTAATAATTCCTGTACGACAGTTCTATTAGTGATGAATTTTCTCAGTTATTTTTCTTTGTTAAATATGGAAATATCTTAATTTCTCCTTTGTATTTTGAAGGGAAATTTTACTGGATATAGATTCTTCATTGGTGATTTCTTTCAGCACTTGGAATATGTCTACATACTGCCTCTGGCCTCTCTAGTTTCTGATGAGAAGTCAGTTACTAATCTTATCAAGGATTCTTTCTACATGACAAGTCACTTTTCTCTCTGCAGTCAAGATTCTCTCTTTGGCTTTTGATAGTTTGACTATGATGTATCTAAGTGCAGATTTCTTTGAGTTTATTCCCTGTGGAGTTTGTTGAACTTCTTGGATGTGCAGACTAATGTTTTCCATCAAGTTTGGCAAGATTTTTGGCCATTATTTCTTCATTATTATTTATCTCTTCCCTCTTCCCACTCTTTTTCCTTTTGGTACTCCTATTATGTTTATATTGATAGATTTGATGGTGCCCTACAAGTCTCAAAAACTGTTCATTTTTCTTCATTCTTTTTTCTTTCTGTTCCTTCTACTGGATCATCTCAATTGACCCATATTCAAGTTTGCTGATTCTTTCCTCTGCCTGCGCACATCTATTGTTGAGCCCTTCCAGTGAATTTTTTTCATTTATTGTAGTTTTCAAATTTAGAATTTCTATGTGGATCTTTTTATAGTTTCTATCTCTTTATTGGTATTCTTTATTTGATGAGACATTGTTGTCATACTTTAATTTTTTAGAGATGACTTTTAATTCTTGAACATATTTATAATAGCTGATTTAAAGTATCTACTAAGTCAAATGTCTGGCTTCCTCAGAGACAGTTTTTATGAACTCCTTTTTTTCTCTGTATATGAGCCATACCCCATTTTTTTTTTTTGTGGTAATTTTGTTGTTGTTGTCAGAAGTGGATATTTTAAATAATATAATAAATCTGTATTCTTTGTTATGTGCAGCCATGGACGTTTCTGCTTGTTTAGCTTAGTGGTCAGTTAATGATTGGACTGAGATTTCTTAAATGCCCAGAACCAATAAGTCTCCTCCTTTGCTGAGGGCTTCTGTGTGCATGTTGGGTATGACTTCAGTGCTCTGCAGTCAGCTTATGATTGTGCCTCAACCTTTATTTTCTGCTGTGTAAATGCTCAAGGTCAGCCAAAGCTGAGAAATAAGGCTCTTCAGGATTTTCCTGGAGATGTGCTTGTTCTTCCAGATTCCCAGGCAGACACTAGAACTTTTCAAAACCTCCTGCGAATATCTCATTCCCATTTTTTTTTTTATTTAAGTTTTTCGGTCATACTCTTGTTAGCTCCAACTGGTTTCACTGCCTCAGGCAGCTGTAATGTTAAACAGTTGTTGTTGATTTTTTTTGACAAATGCCCTGGGTTAGTGCTGTTTGCACACATTGAGCTCTGAGTGTATTAAATAAAGACAAATTCTAAGAATGGAACTTTACAAGAAGCTGCCAGATGGGTCAAGTAGGGACAATTTCCTGAGGATAGGGCTTTCGCAGCTTCAACTCAGTTCTGTCACCTTAATTGGCTGCCAGGCTGCTGGTTTTCACTATGCCAGGCAGCTAGTTTTCAAGGCAATCACAGACTTGTGGACATGGGGATGGGATTAGGGCAAGTTAAAATACTATAAAACTCACTGTTCTTACTGAGGTTCACCCATTTTTCTTGGATAAATACTTGTCAGATTGTTGAAAGTCTTTTGTTAATTTCCAGAGTGCTGAAAAAGTTG